TTCCTAGCCCCAACCAACCCAACGGAAGTCTCGCTCATCAACAACCTTAAAAACAAGGGAGGAGACATAAATAACTTACCACCTTTTATGTACAAAAAAGCTTCACAAGTACTGTCACTAATAATTGTAACACACTTCAACAAATCCATCAAATCCTCCACCTTCCCAGCAATTCTCAAAATAGCGTGGGTCACCGTGATCCACAAAGGTGGTGATCAAGCAGACTTGAATAACTATAGACCAATTTCTAACTTACCTCTGATCTCTAAAATCTTTGAAAAATTAATTCATAGACAGATCTATTCCTACCTTGTCTCACACAACATGCTAAACCCCTGTCATTTTGGATTCAGAAACAATAAAAGTACAAATGATGCTATTATACACATGCTAGAACTAATTTACACTGCTCTCGAGAAGAAAGAAGTCCCGCTGGGAATCGTCATTGATTTACGTAAAGCTTTAGATACTGTCGACCATGATTTGTTGCACATTAAATTAACACACTATGGTATAAGAGGACACTCCCTCAGCTACCTAAAGCCATACCATAGTAACAGAAGCCAATATGTGTACACAAATAGAGCAAACTCTTCCACTCAACCAATCACAGTCGGTGTTCCACAAGGAAGTGTCCTTGGCCCACTCCTCTTTCTCACTTACATCAATGACCTACCGAATGCATCACAACTACTCAACCCATATTATTTGCAGATGACACTACATATGTCTTCTCTCACCCAAACCCAATCATACTGGCCAACACTTAACCCTTAAACTGTCGAAATGCAGATCTACGGTTTTTCAACATTTGAAAGTATGTAAAAAAAAGGTAGGTTTTTTTTTACATTTGAAAACTTGTAAAAAAAACTTTGATCTACGCTTTTTTTTTTTAATATTTGAAAATATGTAAAAAAAAACGTAGATCTACTTTTGGAGCACTACGCATGTGAACGTAAATATGTTCGGACAGTTTAAGGGTTAATGGCAAATTGTAGAAAATATCTACCCAGGTGATGACTAATAAGCTTACCCTCAATACTGACAAAACCTATTTCATTCAGTTTGGAAACAGAGCTGCAAATGTTCCATTTAACATAATGCTAAACGGATTACCCATCACAGTGTAATGGCTCAATTTAGACGAGTGTTAAAACGGAGCCTGAAACAAACTTCACTGGACAGGTTTTTAGCAAGATAAAGAACAAGTGAGCCAGAACAAGGTGTTAGTGGTGAACAGAGACAAAGAAGAGAAACACAACGACAGCTGCCTAACATATTAGTAAGCGACTCTCCTTCCAAGCAGTAACATCCTCCCTCCTCTCCTCCACCTCCTGCTTCAAGTATGCCATTAGCTCTCCTCTGACAGGCAAGGGGCAGTTAAATTTTCATTTACTATACATCATTTCAGTTAAATTTTCATTAGTATTCATTTTTACAGTTTCCCTGTGCTGTATAATTTCACATTGTTTTATGTAGTAGTCAGTATACTGTATTATTAATACATATATAATTATACTGTCAGTTGAGGTCTGGAACAGATCAATTCTATTTACGTTATTCTTTATGGGAAAAATTGCTTTAGTTGCCGTCAATTTTGATTGTCAAATCAACATCTGGAACGAATTAAATTCGAAAAACGAGCTTCCGCTGTACTGTAGCATGCCTTTTCTGATAAGACTTCGAGCTTTCAGTGTTGATAGGCTTTATAATAATAATAATAAAGCTTGGCTTTCAATCAGCTAAGATGCAACCTGGAAATTTGTTTACTCATCTACAACTCCTTAATTACGCACTGACTTTCTTCGAAGACGCACTGACTTTCTTGGGTTATCCTGGGTGGCTAACCCCCCGGGGTTAAAAATCCGAACGAAATCTTATCTTATCTTATCTTAAGATAAGATTTGTTTGGATTTTTAACCCAGAGGATTAGGCACTCAGGATAACCTTAGTCAGTGTGTCAACAAGGACTGTCTTATTTCCATTGGGGTTCCTTCAATCTTGTCTCCCAGGATGCGACGCACACCAGTCGACTAATATCCAGGTACCTACTTACTGCTAAGTGAACAAGGACAGCAGGTGTAAGGAAACGTGCCCAACATTTCCGTCTATGCCGGGGACTGAACCACAGATAGTGTGTGAGGCAATTGTGTTGCCAACCAGTGTGGGTAAGAACTGCAATGTGTCTGATAGTTAAAGCATTTGTGATAGTGTGGGTGGGATAGTTACAATGAGTGGAAGAGTTAGTGGGCGAGTTTCAGCACTGGTCAGAAAGTTATATTTCAAGTGCAACACTTACTAGTGTGGGTTGGATACTTACAAGTGGGTATGATGGTCATGGCATGGATGTAACACTATAAACCTTGGTAACTGATGCTGACAAAATTATTTAAAAGACATGCAAGCAATTACTAAGATATGTTTATTAGAAAAGTTTTCATCACTGGATCTTCACAAAAGTCCCAGGACCAAAGCGTTTTCTAATGTACGTCTTAATTTTTGCTCGTGGTCTCAAACCATGGAGATATAATAGTTATAGCACGGGAGTGAAAGTTCCAGTCTGGGCTGGATGGTTAATAGTGTGTGTGATTGTTATGGTACAGATATGATAGCTAGGGCATGGTTGTAATAGTTACAGCATAGGTGCAATGGCACAACAGCAATGGGGAGCTAAAGCGTCCACAGACTAAAATAATTTTTATTTTCCCCTACCCCAGTATTATACTAAACCAGTGATCACGAAAGTACAATAGCTTTACTAAATTTCAGACACTGAAAATTGTTTTATAAAGACGTCTAAGTTTTAAGACCCCAGATTAATATCCTGGGCATGATGGTTATGGTGTGGGTGTGATGGTTGTGGTGTTAATGTGATGGAGGGGAGTGTGTGTGATGGTTGTGGTGTGAGTGTGATGGTTGTGGTGTGAGTGTGATGGTTGTGGTGTGAGTGTGATGGTTGTGGTGTGAGTGTGATGGTTGTGGTGTGAGTTGTGATGGTTGTGGTGTGAGTGTGATGGTTGTGGTGTGAGTGTGATGGTTGTGGTGTGAGTGTTGATGGTTGTGGTGTGAGTGTGATGGTTGTGGTGTGAGTGTGATGGTTGTGGTGTGAGTGTGATGGTTGTGGTGTGAGTGTGATGGTTGTGGTGTGGGTGTGATGTTCGGGTGAGGGCATGATGGTTGGGGGCATGGCATGATGTCTGGGGGCATGAGAATGATGGTTGGGGGTGTGAGAATGGTTGGGGCATGGGCATGATGGCTGGGGCATGGGCATGATGGCTGGGGCATGGGTGTGATGGTTATGGTGTGGGCATGATGGTTATAGTGTGGGTGTGATGGTTATAGTGTGGGTGTGATGGTTATGGTGTGGGTATGATAGTTATGGTGTGGGTGTGATAGTTATGGTGTGGGTGTGATGGTTATGGTGTGGGTGTGATGCCCTAAGGGTGTATTATAATCAAGGGGGAAGCGCTAAACCCGGAGGATTATACAGCACCTGGGGTGGATGTGGAAGGTATTCAGGCTTAATTCGGGGAACTGGAGCAAAGATCCAATTCCCTAAATCAAGAGCCCCTCACCAACATCAAGGATCCTTCCTTGAGGGGCCTAAGGGTGTAATACTTACCAATGTTGGTAACAGGGTGTGAGTGATATTTATGGTGTGGATGTGATGGTTGCAGTGTAGGTGTAATACCAGTGTGGGTCTGATACTTACCAGTGTGGGCAAAATAAGATTGGTGGTATGATACTTGCCATTATGGGTGTGATACCACTGTAGGCACAATACCAGTATGGGGTGTGATAGTGTGGGTGCAATACCAATATGAATGTGATATTTACAAGTGTGTGTGTTAGGTGCAGCATGAAGTTGCAGTGTGTTTACATTAAAAATTATTAGTTTTATTTTTATTTTTGTGGGGATAGTATTTATGTACCCGCACAGCCTGGGGGGGGGGAGGAAGGTGCAACTTTTGGGTTTCCTTGATGAAACCAAAAACTTTTACTTCCACAAGAAGTGCAATTGTATAAACACATGCACAAAAATAAAATGCAATTTTCAACAGGTGAAGCACACTGCAGCTGTCTAATGCGAGAGTTACGGTGTGGCAGAGTTACGGTGTGGCAGTTACAGTGTGGCAGAGTTACAGTGTGGCAGAGTTACAGTGTGGCAGAGTTACAGTGTGGCAGAGTTACAGTGTGGCAGAGTTACAGTGTGGCAGAGTTACAGTGTGGCAGAGTTACAGTGTGGCAGAGTTACAGTGTGGCAGAGTTACAGTGTGGCAGTTACAGTGTGGCAGAGCTACAGTGTGGCAGTTACAGTGTGGCAGAGTTACAGTGTGGCAGAGTTACAGTGTGGCAGTTACAGTGTGGCAGAGTTACAGAGTTAGTGTGGCAGAGTTACAGTGTGGCAGAGTTACAGTGTGGCAGAGTTACAGTGTGGCAGTTACAGTGTGGCAGAGTTACAGGGTGGCAGAGTTACAGTGTGGCAGAGTTACAGTGTGGCAGTTACAGTGTGGCAGAGTTACAGGGTGGCAGAGTTACAGGGTGGCAGTTACAGGGTGGCAGAGTTACAGGGTGGCAGAGTTACAGGGTGGCAGAGTTACAGGGTGGCAGAGTTACAGGGTGGCAGAGTTACAGGGTGGCAGAGTTACAGGGTGGCAGAGTTACAGGGTGGCAGAGTTACAGGGTGGCAGAGTTACAGGGTGAGCTTGGTAAGTAAGTTAGTGGGTGTGTGTTAACTTGAGTCTGGGTGTGATAGTTTCAGTGGGGACGTGATGGTTATGGTAGTGTGACTGCTACGGTATGGGAGTGATAGTGTAGTGAGCTAAAATTCGGGGCTGATAGTTACAGTGGAGATGATAGTGTGGGTATGATAGTTACTGACGGTGCGTGAGTGTGTGGGCGTGATGGTGTGTGGGCGTGATGGTGTGTGGGCGTGATGGTGTGTGGGCGTGATGGTGTGTGGGCGTGATAGCGTGTGGGCGTGATGGTTATGGGTGTACCTGTCATCCTGTGACAGCAGTCTTCCCGGATGTTGGAGTGGCGGAGGATGGAGGTGGTGGTGTTGGAGCAATCACTGGAGGTGTGGGCGCAGGGTATGTGTAGTAGTGGTGTGGGTACTGCCTGCTGCTGCTGCTGCTGCCGCTGCTGCTGCACTAGAGGTGCCCCTCCCTGCCCCACCAGGGTGAGCACAGCGCCACCTCTTGCTACCGCATTATCAACACAGCCTTCACAGCGGCACCTACTGCCAAGCACTTGTCACACTCATACACACTTGATGGACCAGCAATTCACACACGGGGCTCTAGATCCACTCTGTGTTGGGTTTGTCTAACACTGAGAGGGGAGGGTTTTTTCAGGGGACACAAATATGTGGAGAATCTGGGAGGCGGCGGAGCGTGAGTACTACCAAGACGCTCAAGCAAGGCTGACTGACACATACACTGCTGCATTGTGGGTAGCTGCGCATGCGCACTAGCAGGGCGCGCCGCACCCGCGCTCTTTGAACTACTTTACAGTAAACAGTTAAGTAAGCTTATTCAGGTATAAACAAATACAGCTGCATAGATTATCATACATAGCAGTATATGTGTAGAGAACCTAGGATAACCCAAAAAAGTCAGAGTGACTTATTTCCATTGGGGTCTTTTAAGTAAGTTTATGTAGGTATAGGTACACATAAGTACAATTACTACACATAACTTAACATATGTGTAAACTACCTAAGTGACTTATGTCTAAGGTAATGTTATGGAAAATGGGTTTTGTTGAGGATGCAACCTGCGTACATTGTGGTGATGAAGAAACAGCTTTTCATGCAGTGTATTTTTGTCCATAAAGGACCCCAATGGAAATAAGTCACTCTGTCTGACTTTTTTGGGTTATCCTAGGTTCTCTACACATATGCTGCTATGTATGATAATTCTATGTAACTGTATTTGTGTATACCTGAATAAACTTACTTACTTACTTACTTACATCCCTAGAAGAGGTAAGGTTGTGGATGCGAGGTGTTTTCGGGATGTTGGGAGGGGGAAGGGTGGCTATGTTAAGGGTGTTACTTCTTGACGTGGATGGGGTGACACAGGATGTGGCACGAGCGTTAAGATATATCATCGTGGACTATTTGTACATGTCCTGGGGAATGCGTGAGGTACGGGGCACTGGTAGGATCGGGGCGTTGGCTGCACGTTTTTACAGAACAATGTGCACAAACAGAAGAGTCTATGGTAGCAGGTGGATTGCGTTTTTTCCTGAAGGGTATAGCGATATGACGGTGGTAAAACTTCGCGGATTAATTGGAACAGGACGGTAAGGGGCTGGTGGACAGCGATGATCTAGCGTGAAAGTGGACTGAGCAGTAGTATGATAAGGGTGGAAGGGGGGGGGGGAGTGGGTTGGTTCTGCTATGTTTTTGGTGTGGATGAGCAATGGCTTCGCCAGTTGATATTTTTGCAACGGGTTGTTTGGGTTTAACCCAAAGGAAATTTAATCCACAGGTTGCTTTTGTATGTTTATTTTTCCCGTTGTAGTGTTTGGAGTCTCTATTAAAACTGTTGCTTTACATGTATTTTTCCCTTTTAATTTTAACCTTGCTTATGCTTTTCCTGTGCCCCCGGGGGTCCCTTTGGGTTTTTTAGAGGACTCTTTTAAATCACGTATTAATCAACCTTTGCATTATGTTTTTCGGTTTATCTGGGGGTTGCACTTTTTTTATTTTAATAACAAAATACTGATTCATATGAAACTGTAAGGGAAAGGATTTTTTTTATTCTTCATATATATGAAACCTAAAGGGGGCCGGTATTGGCCCTTTTTATTTTAGGGTTTTTGAATCATGACGAACATTTTAAGTTTTTTGTGTCGCTACATTTTGTTAGTTGTACAAGTTAGGGGGGAATTTTGCGCGTTTGTTTTGTTGGTATATGTGGGAAAGCATATATGTGGAAGGGGGGTGGATGGGGTTTTGGGGGGAGGGGGCCCAGGTTCCAGTGGGGGCATGGTATTTATTGTGGAAAACTTTTTATGTTTTTGGGTATTGTTTTTTTGGCCTGTTAAAAACTTTTTGGTAAAAAGGCCCCCGTGATATTTTTAGCACAATGTATAAAATTGTAAAATTTTTTGATAAAAATTTTAAAAAATGTTAGGAAGCATTTGGGCATTTTTGTCAAAATGAAAGAGTATTATTGTCATTTAAATATAATTTTCTTGGGGAAAAATTTGGGTTTGGTTACTTATAAAGTTGAAAAAAAATGGGTTTTATGTTGAAAATTTTGGGGGAAATTGGGGTAAGGGGGGGGGGGGGGGGGTCGTTATACTGCTTGCATTTTTGGGCCCCATTTTAATTTTTTTTTTGGTGTGTATTTTGGGTTTTTTGTAAGGGGGGGGGGGAAAAGGGGATTCTGTTTTTTGTTTACTCCCATTTTATTTTGTTGCAAGGGAAAATTATGTATATGGAAGTATTCTTAAATAAGCTGAAATGAAGTGTTAATTTGACATTCCCGGGCAGGGCGCAGTTTTTTCCGATAATAAATTTTTAGTGCTGTCATAATTGATTTTTGTTTTATTTTTTGTTTATTAATGTATTTTTGTTTTTAAATAAAATATAAAAAATTTACTTTTTTCCCTTTGGGTTTAAGTGGGAAAGAACTGCCTATTTTGGTGTTTCGAGGGCCGGTTTCAAACAAGGGTTTTTTTAGGTTAAAGGAAAAAAATTTTTTACAATTTATTAAAAAGGGGAAAATTTAAAACCTAGGAAAAAACCAGAAAGTTAAACTCTTTGGCTCTGACTCTTGTACGGGTTTCCCCTTTTTTTTAATCTGTAAGTGATCAAAACTTTTTTAAATTAAAGCTGTTTTTTTGGGTTTAAATTTTATTTTGTTTTGAAACCCAAAACCCAAATTTGGGGGGTGGAAGCCCAAAAAATAGCAGGCACTAATAGATTCAAGGACAAGAAACCAAAGTTTTTATAAGTATGAAATTTTTACAGGGGTAATTAATTTTTACATGTGAAATTTGGCAAAAATCGTAATGAGTTATTTATGCAGAGTAAATTTCGGGTCACAAAAAATTTTTTTGAAGTTTTATATATGGTTTTGAATTTTTACATATTTAATCCCCCTATCATAAAAATCTTTGAAAAGGGGCCTAAGAAGCAAGATCACCCCCCATCTTGAAACCCCTCAATTTTTCACAACCCAGGGGATCCCTGGGGGTTTGAACAGGTTTGCTCCGTCTGCTCCAAATATTGGAACACTTTCGACAAGGTCCCAGATGCACAGAAGAACCAAAAAAAATGCAGATTTAATAAAATTTCAACTTTTTCAAAAGCCTTCGACAATGTGACCCTGGCGTAATAGCGCACCCCAAAAAGCGTGCTAAAAGGGAAAAAAGGGGAAAAATTTGGGTTTCCCCATGGATTATAATTTTTTCCCTTAAAAGGAAAAACAGAGAGAGTTAAAAACAGGGTTTAAAATCCCGAAGGGCAGCTACGGTTTAAAAGCTCTGTTTCCCCCAAGGGACAGAAATGCTCCCCCTCTCATTTCCCCATCCTCATTTTTGGGCAGGATGGGGTAAGAGAACCCTTTTAAAAATAGGGATTTCCAAGCCCATGATGAAAACTCTTCAGGGCACCCTTTTTTATCTAGGCTGGGAATTTTGCTGCAAAAATAACACACCTTTAAAAGGAGGTGAAAATTGCGGGCCCCGAAAATTTAAAAGAGAAACCTTTTACGGCGCGCCTAACGGAGAAAAAACACCTCAAATTTGTGGGAGCGCTTGAGGTTCCCGAGCCTTTTAAACCCTGGGAAAGCAGGCGGGGAGATACATGATTAAAATTGCACCTTGGGAAAAATCCTAGAGGGATAGTCCGAACTTGCACACGAAAATCATCATTTCGAAAGCAAAAAACTTTTGGGAGACGATGAACCTCCCCCCAAAGAAAAGCAGGGGGTTTTCACCCAGCCCGTAAGAGGGCCATACAATAAAAGGGGCAGGGGGCCCCAGACTGTTCAACTTCCCCCCAGCAACAAAGGGGGGGTTACCAACAACCCCTGGCCGTTTTAAGCTGGGACTGGACAAGCAAACCCAAAATCGGTTTTCCGACCAGCCCCGGCTGTGGCTCGTACTTTTGGGTTTTCCCTGCAGCCAGAATAAAAACCCGGGTTTAAACAGGGGTCTGATTCCCCCAGGGGGGCCCGGGCACAGACCGGACCGGGGGGGGTTGAACCCCCCGGAAAATTCCCGGTTAAACTCCAGGTAATAATGGGAAGTTTAAAAATTTAATTTAAATAAGTTTTAAATGGTTTGGTTATTAAAAAAATGAGGAAATTTTTGGGTTTTTTCCCGGAAAAGGGCCCCGTAATAAGTAAGTTTTTTCGGTTTATACAAAAACAGACTGTTTCCTTGATTTAATCACTCCGGCTTTTCCCCCCAGTTTACTTACCTGGGAAAATTTCCTGGTGGGCGATTTCTTGGGGGCACCCCCCCGTGGCCCCAAATCTCAGGGCCAGAAACCCACCCCGGGTTTCTGACCTGTTTACCAAACTTGGTTTTTTTTTTTTTTTTTTTTGCAAACCCAATTTTATTTCCCCAAAATATGCATTTAAATTCCTGGGGGATCAGGAACTGAAATTACGAAAATATCAGTTTTCCCAGTTTGGGCCCGTTGGTAAGTGGGCCTTCCGGTGAAGGGTAAGGCTGAGGGCTTGGTACCCCCTCTTTACACTCACTCTTTACCACTCTTTTCACTCATGAGTATCTAAATCGGGCGAAATTAAAATATCCGAGAAGTAAAAAATTTTCCGGGGACCTTTAAACTCTTCCCGCGCGTGGAAAACCGTAATCAAAAAGCGTCATAGCGGGCCATATTTCTGTAAAACCCCCTGCTGGGCCGTCCGTTTGTGATTTCACACAACTACGTTTAAAGGAAAAACCCAATCAATGGGATCACCCTCTAATTTCTGTTTTTAACCCAACATCTATATGGGAACACTTAGATAAAGGGCTGTTTCAATTTTAATTTTCCCGATACATCCTTGGTTTAGGTACGTTTACGATCCCAAGGGTTTGTACCCAGGCCCCTTAAAATTTTCAAAATTTTCAAAGAAAAAAGGGAAACCAGGGAGAGCTTTTTGAACAATTCACTTTTGGGGGGAAGAAAATTAAAGACCAAACTTCCCCTTTTCCCGGAAAGTACAATTTACCCCAAAACCCCTAACCTACTAATAAAAGGGCCCCTCTAAATCCCACCCAAAA